GCTGGAGAAGGATATCATGTTTGGTAAGGTGGAAGGTCAGAGAAAGAGGAAGATGGATTGGTCAAGTGGCAGCATCAATTGGTTCAAGAGTGGCAACAATTGTGAGGCTGGCCCAGGACTGGGCAGTGTTATGTTCTGTTGTGCACAGGGTCACTATGAGTCGGTACTGACTCGATGGCACCTAACAACAACCAAGTGATATGTTGTTGTTGTTAAGTGCTGATTCATAGGTCTTGTATATAGGGTTTCCAAGGAGCAGCTGGGAGGTTTGAACTGCTGACCTTGGGGTTTGCAGTCCAGTGCTGAGTCTACAGCATTGCACCAGGAATCCTATAAGTGACATGCTGTTGTTAAGTTCTGTGGAAACGATTCCAACCCATAGTGACCCTCTATAGTTTCCTAGGAGCGAACGATGAGCTTAAGCTGTCCATCTTGTGGTTCAAACCATCTTTGCACTGCACCACATTATATTAACACATAGTGCCACACCAGGATGGAATTCAATGTTTATAGATGATGTTTACTGCAAATCTACCAGTGAATGGCTTTCCATAGTAGATCCCCAAGTTAACATGACTGGAGTTAGTTCTCATAGTGTCCATGAGGCTAGGACTCAGCACATTCACAGATCACCACCATCATTTTAATTTCAGTATTACACAGTGGCCTTGGGGAGTGGGGAGGAGTGCCAAGAGGGAAGCGTTTCCCTTCTACTAGCAAGCATTCCAGAGAAATATCTGAACTGTATCTTCCTCTAAGCTTGCTTTAACTAGGCTTCAGTAGACTTTTTCTGAAAAGAACCAGACAGTAAATATCCTTGCTTTGTTGGCCAAACAGTGTCTGCTGCAACTAGTCAACTTAGCCATGATAGCAACGGAATAGCCCCAGACAACAGGTGAACGACTAGCTGAGACTGTACTCCAATAAAACTCTATATCTATATATAAAAGGAAGCCAGTCAGACTGGCCCTTGGGCTATAGTTACCAACACCCAGTTTCAAGAAAAGGCATTTGCTTCACAAATTAAAAATGAAAAGAAATAATAAAAGCTAGCACTCTAGAATACATACCCCTTGTCCTCAGCTGGGCTCGGCTGCCCCTCTTTCACGGGCTTCTGAGCTTTTTTTTCTTTCTTTTTCAGATGCTCCTTGAGGACTTCCGCTCTGTCGAGATATTCTGTACACTTTGCCCTGATACTCTGCTTGGCTTTATCACCCTGAGTTTCATCTGTTGTAGGGAAATGATAGAGGTTTTTCCATTGGTATTATTCGACACAGAAAAGCTTCAAACTCTTTAAGAGCCACTCTTTAAGACAAACAGAATCTACTTTGGCAGAGGGACACAGACGCTTATAACCAGTGATGCCCACCTCGTGTCTACTCCCCTTCCCAAGCAGGGTCCCAGGCCAGCATCGGATACAAGTCAGAAAGTGATCTCAGCCAGGCAGGAGGGCATTTTAAGTTGGTGTTAAATAACAAGTAGAAATGATTGCATATACTGTGGGTTTTAAACTCTTTCCTTACATGTAGTACGTATAATTGAAAAATACATCTCATACAAAATCAGTAAGACTCAAAAAGGCATTGTAGTTGAGGTATTCCAAATCATTACAAGCTCATAGGATAGTGCTTCTGAGGCTGGACATCTTTACAGAAGCAGACTGGGGAATCTTTCTTCTGTGAAGCAGCTAGTGAATTTTTGGTTAGCAACCGAGCTCCTTATAAAACAGACAATTAGAAGTACGGCAGAATTAATCATCTCCATTCATGTCTACTGAGTTCTACTGTAAGGCAGATACAAAGTGATGAGAATTCCACATATTATGTGCGCCACCGATATAGCAGCTTCACTTCATCAAGGCTTAAGCTTCACCAGGACTATTTTCAGAAGCAGACTTTAAAAAATAACTTTTAGTTTACCATCAAAAGATGTCCTTTTCACCCTCTCCACACATGGAGAGGACATGGAAGGGCAACTTGGACATTGGCTACCCAAAATGGGGAGGCTACAAAGGCAAGAAGTGACTGGTTTACAAACTTTCAAGAGGGAACCTAGATCCAGAGGGCCTGGAGGAAGACGGAATCTGCAGTGAGTAGTATCCAATCTGTCTAGGCGGGGCTGATGAAAGGAAATGCGGATAGGTCTCTTGTGATACAACAGTGAATAATTGTTATCAGGACTGATTGTGAGGGTTGGAAATGTAAAGGTAGACGTTTTGTAGCAAGGAGGGGAGGGGTTGACTTTGCAGTCTAGGAGAGGAGGTCCCTAGGACCATCAAGGGAGAAGACAGGAGAGTGGGACCCTACCCAGAGAAGCAGTGATGCCAGAGATGGAGGCAGAGACGATGACGTGGAGAGATGGAGCAGCTGGGGACTCTAGACCCAGAAAGGGTGAGGGGCTATTTGCAGATGACTGGGAGTGCAGGCTTGTAGGATATACCCTTTGGTTGGCTGATGATGCATGGAGGGGATTGTAACCATGGCAATGAAACTATATACGATAGGATGACTGTAAAACTAATGTTCTTCCATGTAAACTATCACATAATCCACAATAAAACATTAAAAAAAAAAAAAGATGTCTATTTCTTTTTTTTCCCAAAGCACACAAAGCTCTTAATGCATAAGGTCAGTGTACGGGGAGAGATGGGTTTTCATCCAGTTTTTCCACACTGGCTTATTCCCAATACCCAGCACAGGGGCCAGCACACAGGAAGTATGCTGCACAGATTCGTAAAGTACGTGAATATTTTTAAACCAGATATTTTCAAACAGATGCTAAGAAAGTTCAGTTCAGATTATAGAATGTGGTACATTATGAAAGAAAACCATCTCCACTGTCTGGCCAACACTTCAAGCCTATCAGGTGGGCGGAGCAATAACTACAGTCGCTGTGCCCATTTGTTCGTTGGGCCGAGCATGTAAAAGGCACTGAAAAGCAAGACATTTTGCAAATGGATGGTTTAATCTTTTCTGAAATTACACTGCAACTATTAAATGAAATTGAGTACTTTTTTCTCTCAGTGTTTTCAATAAAAAACCGGGCAGTTAGCATACATTTAACTACATGGAGAAAATACTGCACTGCATGTTGGTAGAGCTGAAGGGCTTCCTCGTAGTTTCCAGCTTTGTCCTCTTGCGCTGCTTTGCCAGCAAGGTCTATGGCTTTCTGTTGAAGACAGGTAAAAGAATACCATTAAGAGGCAAGCATACTGAAAGGGGCTGTTTCTGTTTCCTTTTATATAAAAGCAACCAAAAACAAAGCCTCCATTAGCATCTGCATTTGAATATTTCCAGCTCAGCCCTCAAGCTCTAGCTTTTGGACATTTCCAGATGAACACCCCCAAAAGCCATACAACCTCAGCAAGTTACGAACTGAACAGATTTTGCTGCCCAGTCCCCACACGAGCATCAAGTAACCAGAACACCTATATTCAAAACTATCATCAACACTAACTGTGTCTTGCCATGGGTTCTAAACAAGGAAACTGGAATCATATTTTGAAGAGGTGCTTTGAGGATAAAAAGCTATGCCAGCTGATACCTGGGCCCACCTCTGTCTGAGCTCACGTCACCTCCTCCATGACCACACACTTCTCACGAATCTTTGGAAGAGTTCAGTGTCCTTTCCCTCTGCCTTCCCCACACTAACCTCTAATCCGATGACAGCATTTGTGGCATTACTTTATAGAGTTCTGATTTTGGGTTATTTCATTAGATTGTGAGTATCTGATTTTTGCATTGTTCTGGAAGGAAATTATTTGAACATTCTTTACCCAAATTTCATCCATCAGCAGGGTGGGAAAACTGGATGGGAGAGAGTACCTATGAACTGACCACTAACAAAACCAGGACTCAGCATCCCTCCCTGTATAACCTAGCAGCTGTCCTCACCTATCCACTAATACTAGTCCACCTACAGTGATTTCCTGGTAAGCAGGCAACAGTTCAATCCTAATATGCAAATCGGCTGGCTGTAAAGGGAAACTGAAATCTTGCAAAAGAGAACAGGCATCAGCAAATAAGTTATATATGCTCAAATCACACACCAAATCTCTTGACAAACGAAAAGCTGGTGGGCTAGAATCGTTTGCAAAGTAACTAGTTGACAAACCAACACAAGGATGATGACAAGATAGGCATTTCAAAAGAAACCATCCTTGGTATTCAGAGGTCGGTGCTTTTACTAAATGACCAGTCCTTTTTCCAAATACTTTTACCAAAAGGACCTTCTTTCCAAACGGGCTATATAAAATCAAAAACAAAGTTCAAGTGATGATCATTGTACCTTGGCTGAACATATTCTTGGTGGAAAAACGCAAACAAATCAACACCCCATCTACTCTTTATTCTAAAAAAAAATGAGCCATAGTTGCAATTATAGTATTTTGGTACAAGACACAAAATACTTACTTTCATCATGCTTTAGTTCCATTTTCAAGATAAAAGTCACAACCAAGACATCATCCCTCTTTTGTTTGCAAAGTTCTGATCTCCACTTAGGGGGGTCTACTTGGAGTGGTCTTTCTTCAGCATTAATGATCCGGGCTAAGAAGGTCCTCTGTTATCTTGTCTGTTCAATGAACTACTTTTGAACCAAGGTGGGGACTTCATTCCATACTCTCTGGTCCCAAACTGACCTAGTGATCCGAGAATCCTCGAGACCAAGTCATGCTCTAAGGCGCACTAGGAACCCAGATTCACTGTGAGCATGGGAAACACACACGGATTTCTATTCTCATTGAATTCAGTTCCACAAAGGATGGCCGCTTATCTCTAAGATCTTAGGATTCTCCTGCTTTCTGTGTAAAACACTGTGCTCTGTGTGGCTGGGCGGGGGTGGCACCAAGGAGCTTAAGCCCACCTACCCCCGCCCCCCGATTTGTAGTATGGCCATACATTTGGGGCCATAGGACAGTGCACAGGAACACATATAATCAGTAAATTCTGGCTCCAACCTCCGATTTTGGGGTTGTTCCCGTATTTCCAATCGCCTGACAGCCCGACAAGCAGGGCTTTGCTAGGACCGAGAGGGAACTGTGGGCAGCGTGTTCCCCACCAGCACCATCAAAGAAGGCCGCACAGACACGCTTCCCGTCTCCGTTCTCGCCAGCGGGGCGTCCCTGCCTCCCGTTTGGAGCTCTGCCCACACCTTCCCATGAGCTGTTTACTAAACGTCAAGTCTCAGCAGAGCCCGCCGGCCGAGCGGACCCCAGGCGCCGGCCGGAAGTGACTCTTCCCGGGAAAGCCCACCTCCCGGCGGCACCGGGGCGCGGCCGTTTCCTTCTCCCCTCGGGAGAGGAGTCGGGTTACCTGGAGGTTGTATGTAGTAGATGCCATGGCGGAGACGTGAGGCGGTTCCCCGGCGAGGGCCGAGGAGCGAGGGGGGGCCAACAGTAGCAACGTCTAGCCGTGCCCGATCTCGCCCCAAACGTCAGGAGGCAGTTGCTCTCGGAAGCGGGTCCTCTGTTTCCCTTCCGGAACTTGATCAGAAACAAAACCGCACTCCACCAGCCGCCAGACCCTCCTCACAAAACTTCCGCAAACCCGAGCCCCTGCGGGCTGTTGTCCCTCCTTGGGGCGTGAGCACTTCCGTCTTCGTCACTAGCACGCGCGCTACCCAGTCACCAGCTTCGCGTCTGCGCACAGCACGGGCCACCCCGAGGCGCAGGGATAGCCTTGAAGTCGGCCCTGGGTAGGGCGGAAGCCAGGCTCTGCGCAGGCGCACTGAGGCTCAGCCTGTGGGCGGGAATGGCATGAAGACTTTAGGGATGGTTTCCATTCCTCCCGTTTGTTCTTTCTCGGATGTCTTATACTTTGAAATGACTTACAGTGTTTGGCCCCTCCTCCCCACGACTTCTTGCTCACGCCACGGCTTTTGAATGAAAAAAACAAAAAACAACATTCCATGTCTAAGTCCTACTGGTTGGCATCTGGGCCCGTTACTGCCCTCTTCAGTCAATTTCTTGTCTGTGAAGTGGGGTCATTATCTGAGAAATGCGCTTTAGGGCACATGGCCAGGTGATTGGCCAAGAGTAAGATCTCGTGGAAGAGCTTATTAATAGTCCCTTCACGTTCTCGCATGTTACTGTCATTCAACAAACATTTTTCAGTGGTCATCGCTCACCAAGACTTTGGGAATGTTGAGAGAGAGCTGGCCTGAGGAACTTAGTGTCAGTCGGGAAAATATACTGTTAAACCACAAGTTTTGTGAACAGAGTACGTCAGTACATCAGTTACATTTAAAGGAAGACTGATGCTTTTTACTAACATTACAGATATAGGGACTAGAAGCGGAATAAAACAAACCTTTCTCAAGCCTTTCTGTTTGCCTCTTTTCCTCATTCATGTTGTTGTTGTTAAATACCCTGGAGTGGGTTCTGACTCATAGTGACCCTGTACAGGGTTTCCGAGGCCGTAAATCTAACGGGAGCAGAAAGCCTCATCTTTCTCCCGCGAAACAGCTGGTAGTTTCGAACTGCAGACCTTAAGGTTAGCAGCCCGCTTCGTAACCACTACGCTACCAGAGCTCCTTTATAACTAAGCTCAAAGGCACCAGAAATCGATGTTCAATCACCCACCACTTTATTTACCACGCACTCCCAACTTAATTCCAATCATCTGGTATCTCCTAAATAATTAAAATGCTCACCTCCTCATTTCACGGAATCTCTCATATACCCTCTATTGTCTGTTTCTCTCCTTCACTGTTTCCCCTTCTCAATTCCCACTAAATGCAGAATTTCCTCAAGATTCTGACGTCTTCCCTCACTACTTTGCCTCTGCTCTTTCATCCCTTTCTTGACCTCAGCTAGCAATAGAATACAAATGGCTTCAGATCTAGATCTGTAGGCTAACTCTGTCCACTACCTAGCTTTTGTAGCTGCTCCCAGAGATCCATCACAAAGATTTTCTGCAGGACAAGCTCAACATGTCCAAAGCCAAATGGATTATATTCTCCAAACTTTGTGCTCAAAACTTAAAGCTCTGTCTCTAATCAACACTTTCCAGCCTTCCTCCTTCCCATCGCTCTGTCCCCTTCCAGTTACACTCTAGCCCTCAGCGCATGCCAGCACAGAAGAAGAACCTTATAAATATTAAACCATTTAAATGGCTGCCTCAAGAAAAGTCACAGGTTCTCTAATGATTATCAAATAAACTTGATTTTCCCCTTCGTGAAGATTCCAATTTACCTCTCAATCTCTAGACCTTTACTGAATCAAATTTTCTTAATTCAATCCCTAAGTATATACTGAATGCCCACAGAATGCAAAAAGTTAGTCTAGGCATTAGTGGGACAAACTGACAAAATAGTTAGAAGAATAATTCATTGAGGTATTTATGAAGGACCACCATATACCAGGCTGTTTGAGATGCTGAATATGTTGTTGTTGTTGTTAGGTACCATTGAGTAGGTACTGACCCATAGCAACCTTATGTATAGCAGAACGAAACACTGCCTGATCCTGTGCCAACCTCACAACTGTTGCCACACTTGAGCCCATTGATGCTGCCACTTGGCCACTCCATCTCATTGGGGGCCTTCCTCTTTTTCTCTGACCCTCCACCTTACCAAACATGATGACGTTCTTCAGCGACTGCTCAAGATTCTGATGTATATGAGTCAGTCAAAATCCTGTTGTATCGCCACTAATTCGCCCTGTCAATATCATGTAGTCACCCAGTGAGAAGGACATCTGACTTCTGTGATGTTCTTCAGAACATCTGTAGAATCATGTGAAAACACCAGAAAAAAAAAAAAAAATCCAAATCGAACAACGTAATACAAAACACGTAATCAGTGTTTTCCAAAAGATGGAGCGACTGTCACAAAGTGGAGGAGACCAAGAGGACATGGCAGTTATTTGCACTGTGGGATCCTAGAGCAGATTCTGGAACAGAAAAGGAAAAGGGACATTAGTGGGAAAGTAAATGAAATCGGAATCAAGGCTGTAGTTTAATTATTAGTATTGCTCACGCTGGTTTCTGATGTTGATAAATGTATCATGGTTCTGTAAAATGGTAACAGTAGGCAATGGTGGGTGAAGAGTAGGCAATTCTCTGTACACCTTTGCAAATCTAATATTATTTAAAAATAAAATAAATTAAAAATCTCTATTATCTGGGAGCTTACATTATAGTAGAATATAAAGTTTTGTCTTTTACGTGCATAAAAATATACAAGCAAAAATGTGGCTTGTGTATGCATATATAGGAAGGAGCTTTACAAACTACATGGAAAAGAGGAACTGAAAGATATTGGGATTTTCCCACTAACTGTTGGAAACTGTGGAGTCGGTTCTGACTCATTGTGACCCTGCACAGGGTATCCTAGGCTGTAAATCTTTATGGGAGCAGAACACCTCCTCTTTTCCCACGGAACAGCTGGTAGTTTCAAACTGCTGACCTTGAGGTTAGCAGCAATCACTACGCTACCAGAGCTTCTTGTTGGAAGCTCATGCATTATCTTATTTAATTTTGTGAGGAATGTCTTATGTACCCCCTTTTTACCACTGGGGAAACTAAGCCTCAAGAGAGATCAGCCATCATCTCTCCAACCCATTCAGCTCTAAGTGGCAGAGCTGGAATTTGAAACTGGATCGTTCGACTCCAGGTCCAAAGTCAGAAGACAAAGCATGACGAGGGTTATAACCAAGGCAGTAGGCACCTGGGGCCACAGAAGACAGAATGGCTTGCTTCTGACTGAGAGGGGAGATGTCATGTAAACTGAAAGACTTATGGGTTTTGACAGAGACGAGACCATTTCAGGCAGAAGGGAGGACATGGAAGAAGGGGTGGAGGACACATTCTTGGCACATGTGAGCAATGGCTGGACTGTAGGAAGCAGCAGCTGAGGAGGAGCGGGGAGTGGCAGGAGACAAGCTGAATGCCCTCCCCAGTAGACGCTGCATGGTTCTCAAGGCTTTGAAGGAGAAAGAGTCTGGACTTTATTCCCTAGGCAGTAAGAGTTCATTGAAAGGTTTCTCCTTCCCTCCCTTTCTTCCTTCTTGGTAAGGTTTTGACTTGGTCAGATATTGGTTTTCTGGTTTTATTCATCTGACTGCGTTTGTAGAATGGAGCAGGGAGACTTTGGAGGCGGGAAAGTACCGCACCTCAGACGATATTGGGCCTGTGGAGCCAAGTTGGAGCCTTGCTGCTGCAATGCTACCTGCAAAGTCGAAGGTTTGAGCCTACCCAGCCGCTCCTCGGGAGAAAGCCTGGTGGTCTGCTCTCATAATGATTGCTGTTGTTGTTCAGTGCCTCTGAGTCGGTTCTGACTCAGCGTGACCCCGTGATAGGGTTTCTGAGGAGTGACTGGTGGTTCAAGCCAATCTTAGGGTCTAGTGCTTATCCTATTATGCCACACCAGGTCTCCAGCCTACAAACCCCCATGGGTTTGTAGCTGTACTTTGTCACATGGGGTCGCTATGAGTTGGAATCCTCTAGATGTCACACAACAAAAGTGGAACCAAGCAAGGTCCTTAAGTGGTGCGAACGGTTAACAGGCTCTGCTGCTAAACAGAAGGCTGGAGGTTCGAGTCCGCCTGGAGGTACCTTGGAAGAAAGTCCTGGTAAATGACTTCTGAAAACGCAGCCATTGAAGACCCTAGAGAACACAGTCCTACTTTTACACATGAGTTGGAACTGACTGGATGACAGGTTTGGAAGGAAGCAGGATATTCACCAATCCCAGAGCATGGGCCCCATTTTCTTGCCTCTTGGGCTTTGACTGAGACCTCTTCTCTCCCTCAATTGCTTTCGTCAGTTCAGCCTGTTAAAATCAGACGTCTTCGAGTTCCAATGGCAATTCTTTAAGGAACCTTTTCTGAAACCTTTTTAAACTCTCATAACACTTTGGAACCTTAATGCATGCTATGTACCTAATGCAGTGTCTGGTGCTTCATGGGGACTCAGGCATTGTCAGCCTCACGGACATGATGTTCTGCCTTTCTAGACTGACTGTAAAGTCCCCAAGGGCTGAAACGTCATTTGACTCCTTTTGGCGATCCCCTTTGTCACCACCCCACATGCAGACACTGACTAAGGCTGTGCCCTTCAATATACAGTTTGTTGAATACAGTGACATCTCCCTACATCAGATCAAAGGTCAGATCAAAACCATGGAGATCAGAGGGGTCCTCTGGCTGGTGGACATTTGTGGATTCAGCCTTCAACAGCCCCTACATCCAACCCATCCCAGGACTGAATTGCTGCCACTTGGCTCATTACACAGGAAGCGTATAGTAGGACCCTGGTAGCATGTCCAGCCATTGGTCAGTTCCCTCCCTGACCCTGAGCAGAACTGTAAGGAAGGCAGAATGCTGTCAGGTTGAGGAGGA